TTTCCTTTTCCTGCCTCAGGAATTGCATAGGAAGTGTTATCAGCTCCCATCAGTTTCCCTCCCTCTCCCAGTCTGGATCCAAAGTTCCTTTTTGGATTTATCCCCACAGCCCTGGGTGTTTCCCTCCATTTTCACCTCTCACCGATCTGCTGGGCTCCTCTTTCCCTTTAAACCCAAGGAGTCCTAGCTGGGAATCACCCTGATTTTCAAAGATAACCCTGTGGATTAAGATAAAAATTAAATCCATTCACAATTTCTGCAGGGGAAAAAAAACAAACTTAAAAAGCAGCACAGAAACAGATCAAAAGTTGCTGTGTCCTCTTTGCCTCCCCAGAGCAAGCAGAGCTCGTCCTACTCGGACAGGGACACGACAGAGGAGGAGTCAGAGTCCCTGGAGGACATGGATTTCCTGAGCAGGCAGAAGAAGCTGCAGGCTGAAGCCAAGATGGCTTTGGCTATGGCAAAGCCCATGGCCAAGATGCAGGTGGAGGTGGAGAAGCAGAACAGGAAGAAATCTCCAGTAGCAGATCTTGTAAGTGGGGCTGGGGGTGAGCCAAAGGGGAACCCAGATGTGACCCAGATGTGACCCAGATGTGTCCCAGCAAATATTCCTGCCCCTGCTGCTCTGGCATCCTCAGCCCGGTTTGGTGCTGGGGGCTGAACTCCCTGTGCTGGAGTCACTGCTGGGACACAGGGGGACAAAAACGAGGGCACAAAAAAACTGCCCAGAGCTAGGAATGACTGGGAGGAAACAGGAAAATAATGGAAACAATAAAATACTGGAAACAAACAATAAAATGTTGGAAACAATAAAATGTTGGAAGGAAACAGTTAAATATTGGAAAGGAACAGTAAAATATTGGGAGAAAGCAGTAAAATATTGGAAAGAAAATATAAAATATAATATTGAAAATATAATATTGAAAGGAAATAATAACATATTGGAAGGAAACAATAAAATATTGGGAGAAAGCAGTAAAATATGGGAAGGAAACAGCGAAATACTGGAAGGAAACAACAAAAAGTTGGAAACAATAAAATATTGGAAGGAAACAGCAGAATATTGGAAGGAAACAAAATATTGGAAACAATAAAATATTGGAAACAATAAAATACTGGAAGGAAACAATGAAATATTACAAGGAAACAGCAGAATATTGGAAGGAAACAAAATATTGGAAACAATAAAATATTGGAAGGAAACAATAAAATCTCAGGAGGAATCAATAAAATACTGGAAGGAAACAGTAAAATCTTGTAAGGAAACAATAAAATATTACAAGGAAACAATAAAATCTTGGAAAGAAACAATAAAATCTTTCTTCCTTGCAGCTGCCCCACTTGCCCCATATAAGTGAGTGCCTGATGAAGAGGAGCCTGAAGCCCTCGGACCTGAGGGACATGAGCCTCGGGCAGCTGCAGGTGATCGTCAATGACCTGCACTCCCAGATCGAGAGTAAGACACGGCCAATTAACCTCATTAACCCGGCTCTGACATTAATTACCTGCCCTGGCATAAATGGAAATGTTCTTCATGGAGAGGGTGGAATAAATGGAAATGTTCTTCATGGAGAGGGTGGAATAAATGGAAATGTTCTTCATGGAAAGGGTAGAGTTGGAGAGCAAGTGCAAATTTCTTCATTTTCCTGGGGTCTGTCTTTAATTAATTAAATGCTTGGGGATAAATGGAAATATTCTTCAGGAAAAAGGTAAAATGGAGAACAAGTGCAAATTTCTTCATTTTCCTGGGGTATGTCTTTAATTAATTAAGTACTCTGGGATAATTAGAAATATTCTCCGTGGAAAGGGTGGAGTGGAGAGTATGGAATAAATAGGAATATTCTTCATGGAAATGGTAGAGTTGGAGAGCAAGTGCAAATTTCTTCATTTTCCTGGGGTCTGTCTTTAATTAATTAAATGCTCTGGGATAAATAGAATGTATATATATATATATATATGTTTTTAATATCTATTTATTTTTATATATTTTAATATATATTTATATATTATTTATAAATTTATTTATTTTATATATATTTATATCTCTATATATTTATATATTTCTATATATATTTCTATATAATATATATTTAAATATATGCATTTACTATATTTTATTCTGTTTTATAGATTTTATGTAATGTAATCAGAGCTGAATAACCAAAAACAGTGATGGTGATTTTGGTGGGATCCCAAATTTCTCATCAAATTTCTCATCCCAAATTTCTCTTCATCCCAATTTTCTTATCCCAAATTTCTCATCCTAAATTTCTTATCCCAAATTTCTCATCCCCTTTCTCAACTCAAATTTCTCATCTTCCCATTTCTCATCCTGGATTTGTCCTCCCACATTTCTCCTCCCAAATTTCTCATCTCCCATTTCTCATCCCAAATTTCCTATCCCGAATTTCTCATCCCGAATTTCTCATCCCGAATTTCTCATCCCGAATTTCTCATCCCAAATTTCTCATCCCATATCTCATCCCAATTTTCCCATCTCAAATTTCTCCTCCCACATTTCTCATCCCAAATTTCTCATCTCCCATTTGTCATCCCACATCTCATCAAATTTCTCATCCCATTTCTCTTGCCGAATTTCTCATCCCAAACTTCTCATCTCCCATTTCTCCTCCCGAATCTCTCCTCCTTTTCTCCTCCCGAATTTCTCATTCCGAATTTCTCATCTCCCATTTCTCATCCCATATCTCATCAAATTTCTCATCCCAAATTCCTCCTCTCGAATTTTCTCCTCCCAAACTTCTCATCTCCCGAATTTCTCCTCCCGAAATTTCTCATCTCACATTTCTCATCAAATTTCTCACGCCAAATTTCTCATCCCAAATTCCTCCTCCCGAATTTCTCCTTTTTCCTCCCAAACTTTTCATTTCCCATTTCTCCTCTCCCGAATTTCTCCTCCCGAATTTCCCATCTCCCATTTCCCCGTCCCGAATTTCCCGTCCCGAATTTCCCGTTTGCGGTTCCCAGGTCTGAACGAGGAGCTGGTTCAGCTGCTGCTGCTGCGGGATGAGCTGCACACGGAGCAGGATGCCATGCTGGTGGACATCGAGGATCTCACCAGGTCAGCTCTGCCCCCCTTTTTACCTTTTTGGGATTTTCCTCCACCATTTTGGGGTTTTCCTCCGGCAGAATTTTGGGATTTTCCTCCGGCAGAATTTTGGGATTTTTCCGTCCTGCAGAATTTTGGGATTTAATCTTTCACCATGCAGGATTTGGGTAGGTTGGGGAGGGGTTGGGATGCAATTCCCAGAAAAGTTTTGGCTGCTCCTGGAATTGTCCAAGATCTGTCTGTGCCACCAGGAGGGCTGGACAAAGGGGACAACTTTATAATGGCTCCGATATTAATAATTAATAATCGATAAAACAAAAAGCCCCGCAGGATATGGGCAGGTTCCCTTCAGGGCTCCTGGCAGGGAAGGGCTCCAGAAACAGAAAATATTCTGGAATATTCTGGAATATTTCATGCAGGAATGTGGAGATTGGGGATGAACCCCCTGGGCAGTGGCAGCACACCAGGATTGTGATTCCAGGCTGGGGCATTGGAGGGAAAATTGGAGATGAGGGGCTGGGGGGGAAGTTTGGGGTGGCAGCTGGAGCTCAGTCGGTGCCACCACACGTCCTGTCCTGGCTTCTCCCCTTCCTCCTGGCACCTTCACCAGTGGAATTTCATTTTTTGGGAATGCTGGGGGCACTGGGTAAAGACATTTCCCCCAAATCCCTGCGGGAAGGGAGGGGAAAAAACCTCAGGTACCCCCAAAGTGACTTCCCTGCCCTTTCTGCCAAGAAGCAAAAATCCAGAAAAAAAAAATTTAAAAAAATTTTTAAAAAATTAAAAAAAAAAATTAAAAAAAATTTTAAAAATTCCCAGCTGGCTGCTGGAGGGGGTGGGTGGAGTTTTCCATCTTTTCCTTGGAATGACAGCCCCTGTGTCCCCAGGCACGCTGAGAGCCAGCAGAAGCACATGGCAGAGAAGATGCCAAGCAAGTGACTCCTCCTGCCTGGTCCTGCCCAGGCAATCCCAGAGCCCCAGCCTTGCTCATTGACCGTGTCTGAAGCTTTCTGTCTGCTCATTGGCCTCTGCTTCTTAATTTATTTTAATTTTTTTTTTTTTTTTTTTTACTCGTGCCACTAAATATCAGGCGTTTTAATAATAATAATGTTGTTATTATTATTATTATTATT